ATTCGTTAAACCATTTTATCTCTTTGTTTGAATATTATTATATAGCTCAATTTTATTGATGTATACATATAGTTTATGTATCTACATTTATACAGAGTGTACGAATTTTGTTATACAGTATGTCCCCGAATTGTCTTTACAAAGAGGAAAAACTTTATTTATTATTAAATTAATTTTGAAAAAATTACATTGTTTATAAAAAAACTGTTGGTTCTAAAATGTTTTAATCATGTTTATACTTTTCCAAATTTCCATACCGTTTTTAGAGAAAAAGAAAAAAAATTAAAATATAGTTGAATTTTTTTCAGTCCTAAAAATTAAAACGCATTTCTACGGTAAATGAAAATTCTAGAGACTCTGACTTGAGTGAGGATGATTTATAATTACATCTTATGTATTTTAATTATTGTAAATACTTAACATTAATTTCGATTTTCTAAAGGCGTGACATTATTTTTGTAGGTATGTTATATATGGTTTGTAACCTGTTACATTCTAAGATTACATTCATGTAACATTCACTAATATGTACGATAATTGAGCGTACTCGTATAATCCAGTGTTACTGAAAATTCCAAATCCAAAACCCAAATTTCCAAATCTTAAAACCCTAATACCCGACATTGGTGACCGCACCAGTGTTGAACCTGCGGTCAGTACCTAAATATTATCTACATATATAAAATGCTAATGTTTATCTGTGTCGTCTCTACTGAAGTAACGACTTGCTCTAGAAAGTTGCCTTTTTTTACTAAAAGATAGCTAATTGGCTCTTCTAAAATCTATCGTTGCCGGATTTTTTGTTTTTCATTTCATACATAGTTTACATTTAGTACATAGTTATTATAGAATTAATAGCTTTGTTTGGGTTCTTGTTATTACCGATTCTGAACCGTCCTAGAACTGTGATGCGTATATGCGCAGAGGGAAATATGAAGACATTATTTCATTTGCGCATGCGATGCAGAGTTCTAGGACGGTTCAGAATCGGTAATAACAAGAACCCGAAAAAAGCTAATGCATTAATAATGTATGCCTAAAGGAAAAGAATATAAAATTAAAATTACAATATGAAGTTTAATATATTAATAAAAAAGATCAAGTTAATACGACTGCGATCATCAAATAAGGTTAAGATTTCATCAGTAACACTTATGAATATTTATATCCATTTTAGATAATGATTCTTGTTAATTTTAGAGGTAACCTCATTTAATTTAATATAAAAGTAAAAAAACTATTAACCTAAAATATAGACCTATTTTTTTAAGTGATGTTATTTTCTTCGGAAAAGATGTTTTTTGTGGGGTATATGAATTAAAACTGAATAAATTTATATTCATTGAAGAAATTTTTGTTTTATAGAATATTTATGAAAATTTAATTTATCACTGTATATTAAGAATTTTGAAATAGAAAACATAAATTAAAATGAATGTGATTTTAATAACAAATATTTATTAACAAATTAATGTAATAAAATTATCATTTTTAGTCTATTATATTTTTATAAATAATTTATAATCGAAATAGTTTTAAAAATTCGGTTATTTAAAAGAACAATTTAGAAATTCCATATATTATCATAGAATTGACTATTTGTTTATAAACACTGCCGTCGAAGTTAATTTATTAATAATGATCATTCATTAATAATAAATTATCATTGAATTATCTAAGTATGATTTATTTTTTTAATATTTTTCTGTTTTAAAATATGTACTTCTAAAGTTACTACATAATATCTTATATTTTATTTTATTTTTCGTATTTTCATTTTAAGTATTTTACTAGTAGAACTAAAGTTCCCATTTTACGCTAGGCGCTCAAACAAGGGTAACAGAAACAACATTCTGACCACAATTTACTGAAAAGGAGAGGTCATCAAGCAAGTCACACAATTTAAATATTTGGGATGCAAGGATGGTTAATCAATCGTGGGATCCAGATCAGGAGATCAAATGCAGGATCGAACAAGCAAGATCAACTTTTCTGAAACTTCGAAGGTTTCTGAAAGATAGGAACTTGAACTTCGGCCTTAGATACAGAGTGGTGAAGTGCTATGTCTGGTCCGTTTTGTTATATGGTGTGGAAGCATGGACACTGAAGGTATAGCAACAATAAACCGAATTTGAAACCTTCGAAATGTGGACCAATGCTAAGAGTGGCCTGGGTCGATCGTGTGAGGAATGGAGATATTCTCAGAAGAGCTGGTTTAGAAGAACGTGAACTCTTCGAAATCATCAAGAAGAGGAAAATAACCCATTTGGGACACGTGGAGAACGTTATCAATTTCAGCGTCTGATTCTCCAGGGTAAAATAGATGGGGGCAAAAGGGGAATAGGCCGAAGGAAGGTATCCTGACTGAGAAATATTCGTCATTGGACAGGACTTTCAAGCACTCCAAGTCGCTGCAATTAACAGAACCATCTGATGAGGAAGAAAAAGATGAACGCCTACGCAGGAATCTGCGCTGCATGCGGCACCTTAAGAAGAAGAAGCTCAAATGTAGTGTCGAGTCGGCCGATTATTTAGTTGCAGAATTGAAGACAAAATATATATTCAAATAGCTGCCCGATCGGCTTCATAAGAATATATTGTTTTCACTTTTACAGACTCACTATGCGCTGATGCGTCGATTTGATTCGTTGACGCGTCCATATTGAGCACGATGCGGTTCGTCGATGCGATTCAATCACAAAAACCGTTATTCTGCCGAACTGTCGCACCACCCATCACGTCGACACATTGGCGCATCGACGAACCGCATCAGCGCATAGTGAGTATGGGTCTTTAGTGGCATTTTGAACTGGTTTATTATATTACTTAACAGACATATTTACTTTATCGAAGCAATTCTTTCCGTATAATTTAATATCTGTCTGCTCAATATATCGAGCATGCCGCAATAAATATTCCCTCAAACAAATAACTTTTTATGTAACTATCAGTAGGAGCTTCTGTAAGCAATAAATCTTTGTCAATAACGAAATTAATGAACGAATCGATTGCAATTTTAACTTTTTTTCGCTGCAAGCACGAACAGTAGTCCAAGGTAAATACATTAACCACTCGTGTTTTAATGAAAATAAATAAATCGTTATAGGTTATGACGATACGTTTTCACGTCAACACACCTTTTTGATCGACTGGTTTAATAACAATAATATAAAAATTAATAACTGGATATCGATATTATTTCGAGCGTTCTTCCATCACTGACAGTCGTTGCTGGTAAATTATTGTATTTATACGCAATTCGTCAAAAAGTTGATATAATATTAGTTTTGTAAACCACATTTTTAGATTTAGTTGTATTTTTTATTCTTTGAAAATAATCAAAATTAATTAGGATTTTAATTTACTGTTTATTTTTATCCTGATTTTGTATTATAATTTAGGTATTCTTGAAATATACCTAAGATGTCCCAAATTTGAGAGTGGCCATAAAGATCTCAGAAACTAAAGATAAGAAATATTAAAGAGATTAAATTATGGCAAAGTTTTGTAATTTTATGTTCAATAAAATTACGATTTGAAAATTTAAAAATTCTGAATACTTCCCGATGCACCTATCATTAATTATTATTTAGATCGAATAAAAAAACGAAATAAGTACATATTTTAAAATTCTTTTTATTTTTTCTTGGCTTTATTTGTAGAGATTATGGTTTCCAAACCTGGATCCTGAAATCCCGGGATCCCGGTGTATGTTTATCGCCGAAATCCCGATATTAAATCCCGGGATCCAAAAAATTAAAAGCTGTTTAGCCGAAAGCACTTTAAGATTAAGAACTTTCTAAGATCATATTTTATTTTTACAAAGCAGGACGTCAATATCTAAAAATTATATTTCCGTGTTTGCTATATTTTATTTTTTTGCAACAAGAATTGTATTTTTTTACTTTCTAAATAACTTAGTTACTTTGTTTTGTCTATTTTCATAAAACTAATTATTAGGCTTGTTCTATGGATACAGCTAACTACACCTAACTCTTGCTAGGATATTCTATTAATTTTAATTGGATTTTTTTTAACATTGTGAATGATAGTAATCTCATAACTATAAAGCTTCATTCAGAACCTCAAAATTAGTGGAATAAATCAATGGTTTCAATAAGCGTAGAAGTTTGTTCCTCTAATATCAATGTAAGCATTCACGTTAAAATTAGTGGTAGTATTAATCTTCAATTAGTGGAAAAAATTAACAAACTTTTAACTTTTCCACTAATTATACTTCAAAAGTTGCGAGGAATGTCATTTTGGCCTTTGATTACCATCCGCCAAGAGAAAGTGTGGTTAGAAATCAAAAGTTTATTGTTTTATAAGCTAAATATTATGATTTCTCTATGGATACAACTGATTACCGCAAGCTCTTGCTAGGATATTCGATTAATTTTAATTGTTTGTTAAACATTGTGAATGATCGTAATCTAAAAAGTATAAATTGTAATTGAAACCACACTAATTTATTCCCCTAATAGCGAGGTTCTGAATGAAGCTTAAAGTATAATTGAAACCACTAATTTTTAGTGCCGATTTTTCATAATATAACCTCCTTTATATCTCTTATGGTTCCGAAATCCCAATGGTCACTTTCGAAATTGGTACACCCTATTTTTTTAGTTTATGAATGAGTGTCTTTGAGTTGAGAGACAAAAAAGAACTCATCACATAAATAAAATAGTATTGAAATCTGATCCTTAGAAATAACTTACTCCGTGATAACTAAAACTAAACTAGGATCATTTTGATCAAATGACACTAGTTGCATTTCAGAATTCTTCTTGACAGTGGCAGATGATGTCATTGTATTTCTTGTATCATCATCATCATCTATTTTCTATGAATATTTCTGCCCGATGAGAGTTTCAGTTGAAAGATTTCAGGACATTAAAAAATCTGTTAAATTGTGCAATAATTTTTACTAAATATCACCTTTTTGACGAATACATATTATGTTAAAAAAATGTTGTAATTTTTGTATTTCTTTATTTTAGATGCTTCACTTTTCCCAAAGTAGAGCCTGTAGAAAATAGTAAAGCAATTGAAACATAACCTACGACAAACTGAAACCAGAAAACGATACATTCCTTCAAAGACTTGAGTTATATTTTTACTAACGAATATATTTTACTGTGTGATTGTCTGGCGAAGTCACACTAGTAATCTAACAAAAACCTAAAAAAGCAAATTAATAGAAGTTTTAACGAAAACACTAATACCTCCTCGTATAAAGTAGTGTCAGTTATAATCTAGTGCGCGATTATTCGATGTGTACACAGTGATGTCGACGCAAAATTACTACAAGGAAAAGCTAGGATTCGATCCTAGGGAGTCCATTTACAACGACGGACCTCCGGAAAAGTACAGGAGGACCGAGGAGGTTCCTCATGGGTACGAAGAGAACCTTACCAAATTTAAAGGTACTATATGGGATTTATTTATTGAGGCTACTTCAGGTACGGTGGTGGGATGATTTAAGTTTTAAGCATGGCAACTACACTCACCGGAACTAAGAACAGGTATTTTAAAATTTTGATATATTTTAAAGTTTACTATATTTTCTTCTGAGGGCCAATATTGATGATTTTTAAGCAATATAAAGCTAAATTATTGGACTTTGTAATGTTTCTTCCTAAATTAAGAATAATAGTTCACATCTGTCAATTATATGAGGAAAAGATATTTCGGTGAAGTTTGAAACATCCTATGGAATATAAATAGCAAGAAATTGCTCGATAGTTTGTTTTTTGGTTCATTTCAAAAGCTATATTTTTGTTGGCTATATTCGCTTTTGAAGAAGACACTAAGATTTTACAAAAAATATCTCCAAAAAAAATAAAGCTATTGAGAAAAGATGCATCTAGATGATAAAATGATTTCAAATTTCTTGCTTTATTAACATATTCCACAGGGTGTTCCAAACTTAAACCTATATAACAACATTTTGTCTTCCCTAGTATAATTGACAGATGGGACCTTTCATTTTTAATTTCCAAAGAGATATTAAAAAGTCAAGTAATTTAACCACAAATTGCTTAAAAGATCATCAAAATTGATCAACTAGAATACAATATATAAAACTTTAAAATACATCAACATTTTAGGGTGTCCGTTTTTCGTGCCGGTGAGTGTATATCGTTGATGTTGTTTTGGAGCTGTCGCTGACGTCTAACGGCTTAATGCGTGGTTTGTATTTTTGGATCGTATGGATTAATATGGATGAATCAAGAGTTTTTTATAAGGATTTTTTTTAAATTATTAATTCTTTTGACGTTTCAAAATATTACATATTATATTTTTGCTTAAAATATACTTAACAGTCAGTTGTTTTGAAATCAGGGATAGATGTGAAGTGTTTAAATATTTTTAATTGCTATCCAAAATATGCCCTATTTTTCTGATTTAAACAAAACCACTTTCTTAATTATATTTTGCTGTTTATTAATTTTGTAACTTGGACTGAGTATTTTACGAAAAATGTTGCTTGTAATATTGATAGATTATAATTTCGGGAGACAAATCATTTTAGTTGACGATTCATCCATTTTAACCAATGCATACGGTCTATTTTTTGCTTATTAATATCGATTTAGTTGGAGGACTTTTTTTATCACTTTCATCAAAATATTTTTTATACACCCTATAGATGCAGATTTTATTATTTATGTTAAAAGTCAAGCTAATTATTCATCAGAGAATACAAAATTCATAGAGAATCAGAATCATGTCATATTATCATGATTCTGATTCTCTGTTGATGATATGAGGATTGTTATTGATACCCCATTAAGAATTTACAGGGGGGATTCATATCATATGGTTCCTTTTATTTGTTGTTTTCGGTGAATTTTGTCTTGGCGATAGTTTAAACTTTAAATTTAATTAAAAATGATATAAAGAACATTAATCCGTTGCTGTCGGAAATTTGACATTTAAAGACAATAATGGAAGAAAATGGATTTCTTCGCTGAATTTTGAAAAAGGTATTTTAAACTGTTGCGTTTCTTTTTGTTAATTTTACATAATTATAACAATTTCAGCTAGGCCATCAGCCATCTCATTACTCATTAGGTACACTCAGTCTCACTAGGTACTCTCAGATACATTGGACTGATACTGGAGAGCAACAGGTTGAATTTTAAGCCATATTTAGTCAATAACAAAGTAAAAACAAACGCCAAAATATTTTTCTAAATCAATTATTGATAAAAAAAAAAATCCCAAAAGTTATGAACTTTTTCTATGACACTGTATTGGTCTAGCGGGATAAAAGGCATTCAGTTTTCTGTGGTATATTTTTTTAATTATTGATATTAATAATAATAGATATACTATTTTTTAGGCTATAAATCTTAATAAATAAGCCTCAAGTAAAAATTTATTTTGGTATATTTAAAGTAAAAAAAATCTTATCCCGACAAATATGTTGGGTCATCCGTTGTGATATTTGGATGAAGAATTGAATAGGATGTTTTTAGGGAAGGTCTAACCCCTAACTTTTTTAGCTACCTGTTTTGTGATAATAAGATTATATAAAATGTCTTAACTACCTTTCTTTTGTGTTTCCAAGAGTTTAAATAATTGCTTTATATTTTCATACTATAAATTGTATTTATCCAGTCGCGTTACTGCAATTAGAAAAAAAAAACATTACAGAACCATACAAGGAACATTGCAAATTACCAGTGTTACACCCTTGTAACTTGTAAATAGTTCCTAAGTGTAATTAGGCGACCGAACTTTTTTGTCGTTTGGTAACAAGGGAATGATAAAAGCGGTACTTGACTTTTGCCATCTGCATAAGTCAATCCGCTAATCTAGTGGATACGGTTTGTTCATCTTTAGTCGTTTACTGAATTAAATTGAAGATAATTCTTTCGCTCTGGTTAATGTAAATAAAATTTAGTGTACGGTTGTCGAAATGTTGGATCAAAACTGTACAGGATTAGTGTTTTAAATATTATGTCTATGGCATTCGTTTGGTAACAAGGGAATGATAAAAAGCGGTACTTGACTTGCCATCTGCATAAGTCAATCCGCTAATCTAGTGGATACGGTTTGTTCATCTTTAGTCGTTTACTGAATTAAATTGAAGATAATTCTTTCGCTCTGGTTAATGTAAATAAAATTTAGTGTACGGTTGTCGAAATGTTGGATCAAAACTTTACAGGATTAGTGTTTTAAATATTATGTCTATGGCTCTTATTTCTTCACTTTGAATAAAAATATTAAGGGGGAGTAAAATGCTATCCATGTACTCATGCAAGGTAGACAAATCATTTTAGTTGTAGTCGAAGGGTCCTAGGGTGGGGATCTTTGACATTTCTGTTTGACGATTTATGTGACACATTTGAATTTGATTTGAAATTTGTGGATTTGTCAGTCTTTACTGAGCTTATTTTATGTCATTTATTATTTATTCTATTTCTGATAGTTGTTTAAAGGTAGAACATCTAGAACGAAATTGTACCAGAACTTAAATTAACAGGGACACTATTGCTATTTATCGAAAAAGACTGTAAAAGAAGTTAGATACGTCAATTTGACTTACCTGCTTCAGTAGCGTATCGGATGTTTGTGTTAATAAATAATTACTATAATTCTCTATTTTTCTAATAATCTATTTTTATTAGAATTGTATATTTTTCTAACAAATTTAATGACTACCAACATTTATTCACAACCTAAAATACAACAACAAATTGAGTCTACTCTACATTATATTTTTACACGTTTTGAATAAAATTAGAACGGCACTAATAAACCGGAATTTAAGTCGGCCATTTTAGGAGCCCGTCGCGGTCGATCTAAGATTTTTTATATGCTTTTCCCTTAATCTTTTTATTCAGTTTTTACCAATTTCAAATAAACGTTACTTACGATTGATAGCGAAACAACCGTACGTATTCATGTCCACTTCAGTGCAAAACATATTGTTGTCATCGTGATGTAATGGAAAACGTTAAAAACACATCGTTCCATTACTAATTACATGCACTTCTTGTGCATAGTAGGGTACCGGTGGCTTTTAAGAATTCATCGATTACGAACGTTTTGGACCCCATCATCTGTGTTTTTCGGGTTGACGACATCTGGATGAAGATTTTTAAGTGGCGGCGATGACAGAATTACGCTCGAAATACAGAGCAAGGGAATTAATATCTGGGATTATGGGGATTTGTTTCGTTTGGAAAGTTTTTTTTTTTTTCATTGCCCGAGGAATGCGGTTCTTGGTGTATTTTCCCAGACAGTCTTAAGAATACAGTTAATCATGTTGAGCTTTAAGATAATGCCTGATTTATCTTTTTATAACAAGCTTAATTCTTTATGCCAATCAAGTTTAGTAATACAGGATAAACCACTGTCCCAAAAATGCTTCATGTTCATACAGGGTACTTTATTTTAAATGACCAATTTACACTTTTCCTATATTTTCTATTTGGAGAAAAGAAAAAAAAATTCAATGTAATTTTACACGAGGATGCTGCATACACAGTGCGTTATGTTTCCCAAACTATAAGTTCTATAGGGTTCATTTGTTGAACATGGGCAGTTCATAGTAGTATATTTATAGTTTACAATAATCACCAAAGCTACCTCATAATATTGAAAAATAACATCAAAAAGAAATGATAATTGAAGAAAATCCAAATCGTTGGGGGCAAGTTTATTTCGCTCTTAAAAATTATCCAAGTCATATATCGACATGCACCAAAAAGCAAAATGCTTAGGAGACATGGCTCTGGCTGAAAAATAATGTTTTAGAACAATTTGCTCACGAAATTATTACACAGGGTGTTCTATAGTTATGTAATTATTGTGTAATTTTAATGTAATTTTACGCGAGGATGCCGATTTTCTCCCTGAATTTTTTTAAAACGTCAAATTTACTAGATACGACGTTATCCTGATTTTTTAATGGTAACCATTACATATTTCATTATAATCCGGTAGACAATTTTAGCTAATTTCAAAAATGTATAGTTTAGTGTACTTTGCATTTACCGTTTTCCATATACAGGGGGTTGAAAATTGAAATATCCTAGAATCATTTTAAACGGCTCACTCAATGTATGTCACGAAGTACATAATACTATGTCACTATGGTACTATTTCCCTATTTCCTATTAATAATAGTAATAGGATTGGCGCGAGGATCGACACCTCGGCATAAAATTTTCTGATTGATCCTTCCTGAAAAATCTTTGTCTTGTTACTTAAATTGATGTCCTTGTAAATTTTCTTGTTTGATAATTTCCCAGATAATTTCATTCAATTCTTATCCTTTTAAAAGTATATCTTAGCAATGATAACGCAAATTTTAAAAATATTTGGTTAGATATACAGGGTGATTTTAATGTATTTTACCGAGTTTTTTTAATAAAATTGTGTATATTTTTCTATTCAGTGGATTTATCTTTTGTTTTCAAAATTATCATAAAGTTGTCATAACCATTTTAGTTTCTATTGGTATTTTTATAACTTTGAATACACTCATCATAATAACATGTAACAAAATAAGGGTAATAAGTTCCAATTCGTTAGGCAAGAAAATCTTATTTAACAGAAAGGCGAAGCGATAATTACCAAACGAGAAAGCACTATGGGATTCTATTTGTTTAAATTTTTTCGAGTCATAACTGTAAAGTCGAAAATGAATTCTTTTGTATGAGAAAGTACGCCTCTATTAAGCAATTTGTTTAAAATAATTATTTAAATGCATTGGTATGTTTATATTTTGGTAAATAGTTTAAAATAATGTGAACTAAAACTATTATTAATGTTTATTTACTGTATTGAATACTTAGTTTGTTGTAATTGACTCTATGCATATTGGACAGGATAAAAGAAATTCTAAATATTTTATTCTTTTATATAAGAGGCATCTGAGCTTCTCATATTGTATATCATGGTTAAGCTCCATACTCACTGAGCGCTGATGATTACGTAGGGATGTGACGTGTATTTGTGAGCACTGTGAGCAGTCCACATGTTTATCAAATATATTGATATTTTAATACAAATTTTGTGACGGTGAATCAAATTATTTATTATTTTATTTATTTTAAGCGTATAAAACTGTTTGTTACACTTAAAAAACTATTTGTTACACGCAAAAAGACATTTTTTACGTATAAAAAACTATTTGTTACACGTAACTTGTTGATTACAAATGAAAAAATGTTCGTACGCATTTTTTAGCAGAGCTATAGTTTGAAAAGCATTTAGAATCATCAATTTCGCACATAAAGCGGGTGTACGGCTGTTAATGCTTTTTGAAAAAACTGTTGTTTACAAAGATGGTATACTTGCCAAGTACGCAAACATTGGTATACTTGCCAAGTACGCAGATATTGGTGTACTTGCCAGATACACGAGTCGTCTGAGTCTGGCTCTACTCAAGCCCCATACTCACTATTCGCTGTTTCGGTTCGTCAGTGCGGCGATTCGGCGGTATGTCCGAATCTGGGCGATTTTGGGCGAACAATCAATAGAAATATCACGAACAGAATGGACGAATTTCCAAATCAATCAACGAACCGAATCAGCGAATAGCTCGATGAATAGCGAGTATGGGGCTTCAGTGGTTTGCAATGACTTTAAACTTTGGCAATGATTTTACGAGTTGTACGAATGTTATTAATCGAAATGATAAAAAAATAAAAATCTTTTTAATTAATTTAACATTTCTGAATTTCAGATGAGAGAGACGCAGTACAAAAGAAGACGTTCACGAAATGGGTCAACAAACATCTGAAAAAGGTAAGGTTCAGTTTTTTATCGCTTGTTTTCGTTGAAATTTAATAATTAATTAAAAAATGATACAACAGAAGGTCAGTGCAAGAAGTGAATTGTCAAAACATTTCATTTTAAGTAATGGCATGCCCATGGGAGTTAAAACATCCTTTAAGACTCATAGTTTCTATGATACGTATAGTATTTTAAGTATGAGTAATGGCTTTAATAATAGAATAATTTAAGCTATAAACATTAGCTAGTCAAGCTAAATAAACAAATACAAACATAGTAGTTATTACGTAAAAGCTTTACAATATTTGCAGTGATTTTTTGATTGATTCTTTTATTTTGCCATTATACTGAGTTATATAACGTAGACTTTATTATATATGACTACGTCATACTTCACAGAAATAATAAACTCTATTTGATAATTATTACAGAGTTTACTTATCTTTTTGATATTTTTTTTACAATATACGTGAAAAACCATTGATAGAACTTGATTGATATATATAACAGATTATTATAAATGATATTTATAAATAGCCTACCAAGAAATATAGGTATGTATGTAATAGTGAAATACATATAGGGACTATATGGGACTAATAGGGACTATTTTTAGAAAAAAATAATAAGGTCGAAAAAAAAAACGGAGTCAAAGACGGCTGGGAATGACAATCGATAATAATTTTGGCGAGTTCAAGTTCAAGCCCTAGACTTCATTTACTTGGCCCATACTCTTCTGTATTTTTTAATGCGCTTAGTGTCAGTTGGCCTTAATAATATAAGAAGGCCGTAATTTATTTTTATATTGAGTCAAAATGGTTTATAAATGGTGTAGTTTAAAATTCGAGGAAAAATATTTTCTGATTTGTATCTGGAAACGTTCTATCTTTTTCTAATTTTTCTATAATTAATGTTAATTTTTGTATAGTTTTAGGTCAATTTTTAGTAAATGACTTCTAGAGATTGACCTCTAAATATAAATTATTATCATCAATTGTCATTTTCCAGCAGTCTTTGACGCCCATTTTTCGATCATACGGTATTTTTATTCATACATCGTTTTATATTTTCTAGTTCAATAAAATCTTCTAAATGCGACCTGATTCATGGACACCCTGTATTTTCGTATGCAGAGATACACTGATAACACTGTTTTCTATAAATTTTCACATAAATTCTAAAGGCCATAATTTAAATGTCAAATTTGTCTTTCCGACTGCAAAGCAGATTCTCGAAATTCTTGTAAAGTCGCCACAAACACTTCCCAATGCAATTTTGTTCTATAAATATTGTCACTGTCCCTCTGAATCGTGGACCAGAACAATGTCATGCTGATTATTTTCGGTGCAGCGGAACTGGGTCATAGGAATTAATCAATGGTTTTAGATTAAATAGCAGCATATAACGACAGTATATAATTTATTTTCAAGCATAATCCGTTATTTACTATTAGTCTCTATAAAAATGGTATTATAAAATTGGTATTATTAATATTTTTAGCAAAATCATGAATTTTATAAAACTTGTAAAAAACTTCGTCAATTAAAGGGAAAGATTTAGTGCATTAGATTATCGGGGTTTTAATATTGGTAATGGATTTAAGGTGGATATTGAGGGTTATTGCATGGTCTGCGCGACCTATTTTTGCAATAATTTATTGATTATATCTATGAGAAAATTACTAGGTTCTTAAAGTAATATGAACTATAAATATTGTATTTATGCTGTATACAGGGTGGTCCGAACTGTATTCCGGAAACTTCGGCAGCATATACTGCAGATAAAAATAAGTAAAAAAGTTCATATAAATGTATGTCCTGAAATGCTCTTGCCTTCGGAGATACAGGTGTAGAAGTTTTGCTTTTTATTTCGATTTTTTTCTTTATAATTTCTGAAGTAACGTCATATTGGATGAAAATTGGAAAGTTTTTGACATAAGAAATTTGATTTTGAAGTTAATATGTTTCCTACTTGTAGAGGGCGCCATCTGCATATTTTTTAACTGGTTTGAAAATTAATAACTTTTCGTCTGTACCTGTATAAAACAACTGAGTAAAAAAATATAGATTTGCAACTTTTTTTACGTAAAAAGGTCTCTTTTTAAAAATCGCTACGAGTAATGGTTCTCGAGATATTTGAATGAAATTATCATCCAAGTCATCATTGACATAATTAAACATGTTGATCACATAGTTATTAGACAGAAATCATAAATTTGAAATGTTTTTTTTGCCAAAAGTTCAACAGAAACTGTTTTATAATATTTTTTTCGCAGAAAAATGTTTGATTCATTTAAAAAAATAAAAATCTCAAATCTATTATTTTAGTCAAATAACTACCTACTCAACGTGTTTACTTTTTGCCAATAATGACATGTATTGATTGAACGGTTGCTCGTAGCGATTTTTACCAAGAGACGCGTTTTACGTGGAAGGTCTTGGAAATGTATATTTTTTTACTCGCTAGTTTTATACAGGTAAGGTAGAAAAGTTATTACTTTTCAAAGCAGTTTAAACACATGTAGGTGGCGCCCCCTACAAATAGGAGTAATACTGACATCAAAATCAAATTTCTCATGCCAAAAAACACCCAGACACCAATTTCCATCGAAATATTGATGTTACTTCATAAATTATTTGAAAAAAATCGAAATAGAAATGAAACTTCTACACCCTGTATGTCCGAAATAAAGCATTTTAGGACATACATTTATACGAACTTTTTTACTTATTTTTATGTGCAGAATATGCTGCCGAAGTTTCCGGAATACAGTTCGGACCACCCTGTATATTAGCTACGAGGGTTGTCTTTTCTTTTATATTTAGAAACAGATTAAGGTGCGTATTCATTATCCGAACGAACGAACGAACGAACGAACGAACGACCGAACGAACGAACGAACGAATGAAAGTGCGGTATATTTGGACGGGGACCGAACGCATGCGGCCGTTCGTTCGTTCGTTCTCTCGACCATCCGTTTCGAGTCGGTACATCAAAGGCGTTCGCCAACAAATGCCTCCGGTCTTCTCGTGCGGTCCCCGTCCATACCACTAGCGAACATTCGTTCGTTCGTTCGTTCGTGCGGATAATGAATACGCACCTTTATGCGCCTGCTAACATATATCAAATGTCAAAATTAACTGTCATTAAAAGCTATATCTAAACTGAAGTTTATAAGTTCACGAGTCAGTCGAAATATGGAATTAAGCCGAGAAAATTTTCGCGCAATAATTTTTTACAATTTTCGAAGACAGTTGTTTCAATAAAAATGCTTTGCCGAGCTGGTGGAAGAACAGAAAGCAATTAGAGTCAATTGGTGTTAAAACGTTACACCGCGGCACCGCACCGGTTTAACGCAGGAAACTAAAAAAATATATACAGTAGTATCAGTGGCAATGGATCCTGGATTTACTCTTATGAACCCGAAAATAAACGTTAATCGGCTGTTTGGGTGTACTGAGATGAACCAAAACCAATGAGAGTTATTCGTTCTGGAAGTGTTTCCACAAAGAGTTTCAAAAAACCAACCCTCAACGACGAATGATCCTCCACCAAAAAATGCAAGTTCCCACAGAGCTCGAAAAACAATTAAGTTTTGAGAGCAAGAAAACATTGAATATTGGACCATATTCCATACAGTCCCGAGCTTATGAAGTCTTAAGGAGTTTTTTACTTTTCCAAAAATTAAGAATGACCTGCGTGGACAAAGGTTCCAGTCCCCAGAAGATGCAGTCAGCACCTTCAAAAAGTCATCTAACTATTTTTTTTCCACCTCTATATGTAAAATATAAAAGACAACCCTCGTAGTGCACTAGTTGATATGGTAAAGGCAGAAAAACTATTAAAACTGCAGTGGGTCTAACAAGGTATTGCAAGCTCAGTAGACATTTAAAGCTACATACATACATAACACATTTAAAGCTATGCGCAGAATGTGTTAATGCAAATCTGCGGTTTTTTTGTATTAGGTAACGATAATCCATTTGCAAAGAGCTATAGAGAAGTTTTTAAAGAGAATACGATTGGAGAACCTAGTGTAACCTAGAACGCTGACTAAAATATACGACACACCTGATAAGCAAAGACAGAAAACTCTGCAGTGACTCTACTAACAGGGCATTGCAATAGGCATTTAAATCTAACGGGATTAACAGACGAATCCATAGTCTGTCAATCAGAAGAAAAAACGGCAAAACACATTCTGTCAGTGCGAGTCAATAATATGGCAAATATACAAATATTTTTATTAGGAGATGAAAAGCCATTAACAAAGAGATGCAAAGTTCATACTCCAACTTATTAGACTTTGTGGAAATAATACGACTGCTGAATGTAACCTAGAAATCAGAATAGGGTCACAATTGATTTGTAAATTTCAAGAAATCTAATCTAAACTATATCGCTAGTATATGACTTGGCGAATATTTAAGAAACCCCTTAGGTATCTTATCTTATGTATCTTAGAAAATTTGCTTGAATTTTTTTTGACATTTACTTACTATATTTAACCAATTACATATCTTAACGAAAATAATAAAGTGTTATTTATAGATCTACACTAAAATTGTAAATATTTGCCTATGTGTGAAGATTTCTAAGTCGAAATTAATATTTATGTAAGAAAGGTCATTCCTTTAGTTTCCGTTATGACATCAGAATTATTTGTATGTTGTGGTATTTTTTAAAATTCTAATACCTGTTTTATTACCAGCATAAATAAACATAAACGTGGAACTACATTCCAATCTTAGGACAATGTTTGTCAGTAAACAAATTTTCTGTCCTATTTGTTGCAGAAAGGTAATGTGTAAACAAAACATATCAAATTTTAACGTAATTTTAATAATGGCTTGGTTAAATATCTGTAGAATATAATTATTACTAATAAAAATGTGACCACGTCGTCGGAGACGTTGTATACCTTTTAAGTTTTAATCATCTGAAGCTGATAATGGGCGAAAGAAAGTCCGATGTTAAATTGGCCTTAATCTTTCTCCACTTGTGACATATATTATTA